CATCCACTATTCTATCTAACGTAATGATAATAGTACATCTAACAAGAAGAAACAACTGTTAGATAGAATAGTGGATGTTCTAATAATAATGGTACATCTAACAAGAAGAAACAATTGTATTTGTCTGGAAGAGTCAAGAGGAAAGTATTTGTCTAGAAGAGTCAAGAGGAAAGTATTTGTCTGGAAGAGTCAAGAGGAAAGTATTTGTCTGGAAGAGACAAGGAAAAGACACTGGTTTGGAAGGATTAAATGAAAGGTATTTGTATTTAAAATTAAAAATATTGACATTTATCTTGAAGGACCAAATGACAACTATTTCTGTTGACTTGTAAGTTCATTAAAAGTCCGAGAGTTTTTAGAGCAAGTGTAAACTGTACTTATGATGATTTATTGACCAAATATTTAGTTACCAGTTCTAAGGCTTGATAAATCAATCTGGTCAATCTGGGGTTGGTTCAGCAGGTCAATGAACATAGTTGGTGTTCCCATGACAACAGAGCACCTAACAAGAAAAGAAAATTGTCAGGGAAAAGTAGATGTTCTAATGATAATGGTACAATCAATAAGAAGAAACAACTGTAAGGTAGAATAGTGAATGTTCTAATGATAATGGTACATCTAACAAGAAGAAACAACAGTTAGATAGAATAGTGGATGTTTTTCCTCTTGACTCTTCTAGACAAATACTTTCCTCTTGACTCTTCCAGACAAATACTTTCCTCTTGTCTCTTCCAGACAAATACTTTCCTCTTGACTCTTCCAGACAAATACTTTCTCTTGACTCTTCCAGACAAATACTTTCCTCTTGACTCTTCCAGACAAATACTTTCTTCTTGACTCTTCCAGACAAATACTTTCCTCTTGACTCTTCCAGACAAATACTTTCCTGTTGACTCTTCTAGACAAATACTTTCCCTTGCTCTTCCCAACGAACACTTTTCCTAAACAAACACCCTTTCCTTGACTCTTGAGTGTTTCTCACAATTTCTTGTAAACGGCCTCTTCCAAATAAATACCTATATTTGTTATTTTACAGAACCAGACGTATAAATCTCTTATAGTTACATTTCATTCTTATGGTTTTATTTAATTTTCTTCTTTAGCTGTTATTGGAGGTTCCCCGTGTCCTGTGGAGTTGTGGAGAGAAGTGGAAGAGAAGATGAAGATAACACATGTCATTGTAAAGATTCAGAATAATAATTTATCATTTCATTAGTGCTTTTCACATGTTTGTAGAAAGTATGTGTCCTATACAAACATTGAATACTTTTAATTCTAGAACTTAGTTGGGTCCATATGGATCCTACGCATTTTAAAGACATTTTTCTAAATGATTTCTGTGCGAAGCTGCTTGTAAGTCCATGACAGTTTATACAAACATATCAGCAGTACTTAGGCCTTAAGGTTAGAGCGCTCGACTAAGTATCGCGGGTTCGAATCCCCGTCACCGAACACGTTCGTCCTATATGGTTCTGACTGGTCCAGCCACCCGAGTGTAAAAATTGTTGGCTTACCGAAATACTTAACCTGAAACTAGATGAAACTGGGGTCGAATGGGAGTGGGGAGAAAACACGTCAGTATTCACTTAGTCCCATTAGTTTCTTCTGGGGTTTACTTTTTTTATTGTACTTACACAATGAGTGATATAACCCAGTCTTGTTTGGTCATTTATATATATATAATTTTTTTTACAGTGAGACTTCTAACGAGCGAGGCATACAATTACTCAGTATTATTATGAACTGTTCTATGTTTGCCAGCTCCTTTTGGATTATTTGATAACAAAATAATAATGTAAACATCATTCCAATAACGTATTGGTTTACTTCTACAGGCTACGTTCACTTTGACACAAATTGTAGGCACAAGTTTACAAATAACCTTTCAACAGAAATTCCTCGCTAATGGTACAAATAAACTTGTACAGTTTCACAATTAATCGGTAGAGTAACTGAATATCAGCGATATGTCACTAATAACACTGACTTCAATAATTCACCAAATGCTTCACTGATTCTTGTACTTATAATGCACTCCTACTTCCATATACTACGCAAACCTTCTGGTTATTGTAATCATTGTAATTAACAGATATCTATAGGAAGCATCCATCCTTGGGAGTTACGTTTTATCCCTGTAAGAAAAGCTACCCTTGGGAGTTACGTTTTATCCTTGTAAGAAAAGGATAACGTTAGAATTTCTGTCAATTATTTTCACCTCTAGATAACGTTAGAATTTCTGTCAATTATTCTCACCTGTGGATAATGTTAGAATTTCTGTCAATTATTTTCACCTGTGGATAATGTTAGAATTTCTGTCGATTATTTTCACCTGTGGATAACGTTAGAATTTCTGTCGATTATTTTCACCTGTGGATAATGTTAGAATTTCTGTAAATTATTTTCACCTGTGGATAACGTTAGAATTTCTGTAAATTATTTTCACCTGTGGATAACGTTAGAATTTCCGTCAATTATTCTCACCTGTGAATAACGTTAGAATTTCTGTCAATTATTTTCACCTGTGAATAACGTTAGAATTTCTGTCAATTATTCTCACCTGTGAATAACGTTAGAAAGGTTAACCGAACTTCAGTGAACATACAACACAGGAAGTTAAATCCCGTGTGTTTTTATCTTATTTTGATTTATATTTAGTGCATTCTCGTCATTATAAAAGATCACTCACAGACTATTCTCGTCATTATTAAAGTCATTCACAGACCATTCTCGTCATTATAAAAGGTCACTCACAGACCATTCTCGTCATTATAAAAGGTCACTCACAGACCATTCTCGTCATTATAAAAGGTCACTCACAGACCAAGCCGTGCAGGTCATGTTTTATATATGTGGTCCAACAGTTATCAAAAGTGGGGAGCTTACTACTAAGTAACTTTAAAAGATATATACCTCGACATGATCAAAAGGGGTCCCCACGGTGTCATATTTCTTATCAATCCGCTCTCCTGGACGGGTTGCCAGGGTTGTTGGACTATTTTCTGTTGTTCCATACGCATTCTACAAAACAAGGAATAAAAACTGGTACAGAAAAGAAAAGAAAACCCAACTCTCGAGGATGGCTTCTTTTAAGGATATAAAACGTAACTTCCAAGGGTAGAACAGGTGAAAATAATTGACAGAAATTCTAACATTATCCACAGGTGAAAATAATTGACAGAAATTCTAACGTTATCTAGAGGTGAAAATAATTGACAGAAATTCTAACGTTATTCACAGGTGAAAATAATTGACAGAAATTCTAACATTATCCACAGGTGAAAATAATTGACAGAAATTCTAACGTTATCCACAGGTGAAAATAATTGACAGAAATTCTAACATTATCCACAGGTGAAAATAATCGACATAATTTCTAACATTATCCACAGGTGAAAATAATCGACATAAATTCTAACGTTATCCACAGGTAAAAATAATTGAC